GGGACCCCAAAGCCCACCCAGTGCCACCCCTGCCATGGCAGGGACAGCTCCCACTGTGCTCCAAGCCCTGTCCAGGCTGGCCTTGTGCCCTTCCAGGGATCCAGGGGCAGCCACAACCTCCTTTGCTCCTCTCTGGCAGCTTTAGGAACCTGCCATACAATAACCATACAATAGACTTCTTCCCAAAATCTTGAGGAGAACCTCTCCATTCCTCCTTGTCCCATTTTATGGGCAGTTCCTTGGCTAGCTGTGGGCCAAATGTGCCCATTGTGGCTCCCCAAATGCCACCAGACAGGCTCTGAGCCGAGCTCTGTGTTCTCTGGCAGCTGCTCCTTGGCCAGACAGGCCAGCACCAGGAGAGACATTTATTTCTGGCCCACTTTTCCAGCTGGCAAGAGGCAGTTTGTGGTTAGTCAACAAAGACATCATTTTGGAAGGGAAGCTGAGCCTTGCTGCTTTTCCACACAGCCACTCATTAATCTTGGTGTCCTGGAAATGTTCAGCTTTAAGATAGGAAAAGGGATGGAATTAAGATGGGGGTTTGCATACCTCGAGGCTGATTATTCATATCCAAACTGCTCCATGAAAGCCTTTGTCCCACAGAGAGCTTGGCTGGAAAGATTATCTTAAGGAGTGATCAAAGAAGGAGGAAAATAAATCTGGGAGCCATGAAATGCTGGGGAATTGTTGTGTGCTCCAGCAGCAGAGGCTGGGGGTGGAGAGCTGTTTGCCACTTCCCTGGGTGTGCCTCAGTGAGGGCGGAGGTGGCTGCAGCGAGGATGAGGATGAGGAGGGCAGAGGTGGAGGAAACAGAGGGAATTGGGGCAGGGGAGCCCACAGAGCTGGGCTCTGTGTTCATGAGAGGAGCTGGTCAGCCAGCAGTGTGTGCAGCTGGGAACAGGCACAGCAGCAAAACGCAGGGATTTGAGTGGGGTGTGGGAATGGGAACTGCTGCTGGGTTTGGGGCTGCTCAGAGGGGGCTGTGTCCCTGCTGGTGGTGCCTGCCCTGAGGAATTCCTGCTGTTGAGCTGCTCCTGTGGAGCTGTCACGGGGAGCTGCAGCTCTGCCCAGGGTCAGGGTGAGCTCAGGAGGGCTCAGGGGCTGGGCTGTGCCTGCAGGGAGCAGAGCTCAGGGGATTTGGGGTGTCCCCTTCACCCAGGGGCCCTCCTGGAGGAGGGTTCATGGCGTGCACACTGAGCACTGAGGTGAAGCAGCTCCCCAGATCCTCAGGGCTGTTCAGCCCGGGCTATTTCAGCTGCATTTCCCATTGCCTGTGTGCTGTGTGAGGGTTTCATTGTGGTCCCTGCCCAGGAGCTGAGCTGGGGCCAGGGGAGCAGCCTTGGTCTGGCTTTGCTGCCCCATCGCTGGGGCTTCAAGCCACTGCAGAGATTTTTACAGGGGGTTGGAAAGAAGCCCTGTCCCAGGCTGGCAAAGCAAAGGGAATAAATAAAGGCACAATAAAGCAGTGGGGTTTGCATGCACTGTGCTCTCCCTGGAGCTGCTGGAGCCCAGCCTGGCCTCAGGGCTCTCAGGTGAGCTGGACCCCACATGGGCAGGGAAAATCCAGCTCAGGGAAAGGCAGGCAGTTTATTTTTGCCATTCTTAGCAGGGAGGGATGGTTTTGTAAACACGAGTCCACCTGCAAGGTGCACTGAGCTGGCTGGGAGTCAGTGACTAATTACAGAGCTGTCTGCTTCCATCAGTGCCAGCCCTGCTCAGCTCCTGGTTTGCATCTCAGGGACAGTTTGGGCACTGGGGCCCTGGAGGTGAGATGGAGCTGCTGTTCCTGCTGCTGCTCCCTTTCGCAGGGACTGGAGCTCAGGATCTGGCAGGGAGCAGTGCCAGAAGTGTCACTCCTGCTCTGACAGTGGGCTGGTGGCAGCAGGAAAGAGCAGCAGCCCTGAGCCCCAGGTGCCTTTGGAGAAATTCCCTGTGTTCTCCTCAAAGGCTGCCAGGTGAAGGGGGAACTGCACTGGCCCAGTTCTGCTGAAAGTCTGGTTTTTCCCTGACACTTAGATGTATAAAAAATGCCGCTGGGTTTCTTGCTCTGTGATCGAGGTGTTACCAGGGCCCCTGGGAAATCAGCCGGGTGCCCCCCTCACTCTTCCCCCTCTCCCTTTGCTTTTACTCTCTTTTCAAGGGCTTTAAAGAATTGAAGGCATCCAGATTTCCCAGTGGCCCTTATGTAAGAGGCTGGAGTGTGGGAGGCAGAGCTCTGGGCACAGCTCTGGGCACACCTCAGACATTACCTGGCTGCTGCTTCACGAGCTGAGCCTTTCTTCCTCCCACACCTTGTAGCACTTTGCCTCTCTCCCTTCTTGTGCTTCATCCTTCCCCCTCCAGTTTTTCTTTGCTTGGTAATAGAAGCTTCCAGGATTTAACATTGTTATACATTTACAGCCTTTGCAATTTTACTGTATTATATAAATATTATACAATATTACATAAATATATGTTTATGGCCCTTCCAATTTACAGCCTTATAGCAATTTACATTGTTAGAGGTTTTACAGCGTTGCCAGTGCCCGAAGGGGCTCCAGGAGAGCTGGGGAGGGGATTTACACAAGGGCCTGGAGTGCCAGGACAAGGGGGAATGGTTTCCATGGCCAGAGGGAAGGGTTGCATGGGGTATTGGGGAGAAATCCTTCCCTGGGAGGGTGCCCAGAGAAGCTGTGGGTGCCCCTGGATCCCTGGCAGTGTCCTGGGATTGTCTCCTGGTTTGTCCCTGTTCTGCCCTGGGAGGGTTGGGATCAGCTGCAGGCTCTGCATGGTCACCCCCAGCACACAAACAGCACAGTCCAGGTGCTCCCTTGTGAGATTCCCAGGTGCAAATGTCAGCAGACATCACTTGGAGCATCCTTTGGGTGGGACAGAGCCCCTCTGCAGGGCCTGAGAGGGAGGAGCTGGGTCTGGGGGCTGCCTTGGCCCTCTGCAGTGATCTGTCCCACTCTGGGCACCTGGGGCACAGCAAGGTTCCCCCTTCAGCCCAAGGGCAGCCTGCAGCCCCCTGGAGCTCAGACGTGCTGTGCCCCAGCCTGCTGTGCTGCTGCAGGGACCAGGTGTGGCTGTGCCAGGTGAGGAGCTGCCTGGTGACCAAGGGGCCCTCTCCTCCCAACTTTATATTTATAGATGCCTCCAGAAACACGAGAGGAAAAGCAGTAACAGCTTGATCTGTCATTTAGCACTGATTGTGACTCATCTGAAATCTCTATTTTAGCTCTTTTTTGTTGTTAGTGCAACCACTTTAACATTGTCCAAATGGCTGCACTCCCAGCCGGGGCGTTGCACGATCAGGCACCGGCAGGGTCGGAGGCAGAACAACAAATTCTCCCCCAAAAGCAGCAAAATAAAATGTTCACAGGAATTTGTCAGTTGTTGCAAGTGCTTATTAATTTGATTTGTACTTTGAATCTGTCAGTCCCTTCTGCCGAAATACCGAACAGCTGATGGGCTCATTAAATAACAAATTGGAGGAATTGATACAAATGTCAATGGGAAAGACTGAGCTGGACTCGCTGCTTCCTGAGGGCTCAGCTCCTAAAGCTTTGCTTTAAACATTTACTAAACTTGTAGAGTGTGCAAACCCCTGGAGAATTCAATAAAAAGCCAACCACAGTATAGGGCAGTAACTGTGGGTTTACCCCATTCAGTATTTCAGACATTTTCCACTTGGCCTTTCCAGGTGCTTTGCTTCAGGAGCCTGGAAAAGCAGGAGTTTGACTGGAGATGATTTAGGGAGTCTTTAATTTATTTTGCTTCCTCCCACTTTGATTTCACAAGCCCTTGCAGAGTTCACAGCCAGGCAAAAGGGAGGCAGAATGCCCATGTGGGATGTTTGTGAGCTCCTCTCTTGATGTTCCCCGAGATGCCATCAGGTTGTTCGGAGTTCTAATGAATTTTCTCACATCAGATCAAAGAACTGGAGTTGATGGATTGTCATGTGCTGCAGGGCTTTGGGGTTTGTTGTGGTTTTTGTTTTCCTAGGTGTGAGTTTCAACAGTGTTTATACCCAAATTTGGAGAGTGCTGCTTCACCTGGCTGCTGACCCCTACCCTGACGTGTCCGACCTGGCCATGAAGGTTCTCAACAGCATTGCCTACAAGGTGAGTGCCTGCCCTGCTCACCTGTGCCTGCCAGCTCTTTGGATGTGGATTTTCTCATGCTCAGGCAAGGCTTAGGCAGGCTGACCTGGATGGGTCTGTTGGAGGGCTCTGCCTTTTGCAGAAGGAGCTTTTAATGCTTCACCCTGATAAACTCTGCTCTGAACTCTGATCAGGTAAAATGAACAAATGGGGGAGGGCCCGGGCTTGTTTTAGGATGTAAATGAGGTCTAGATCAGTCCCTGGGATAAACCTCAAGTATCCTTCAATAAATTATCCCTTTGCAAACTGATTTAGATAATGCAAGTGGGACTGGCCTGCAGACTGAAGCCACAACGGCTCTCCAACCCAGGTGAACTAGTACATGTGAGTCAGCATGCAGACCCCTGCCCCTCCTCACCCCAGCCCAGGCTGGGTGCCTAAACCTCCATCCTCATCCCATCTCATCCCGGGGGTGCCAGGATGTCCTGGAGGTGCCACCCTGGGGCAGAGCTGCTCCCTGCCCGGGCCCGGCCGCCCCAGGGCATCCTCTCACCCCGTGCCTGCCCTGGCTGGGCACAGAAAGCTCTGTGGGACCCTTTCTGGCCTCTCAAGCATCCAGACCATGAGCCATTGCAATGGGAGCTCTCTTACTGGGCCTTTCCAGGGAATGAGCCCAGATCCTCAGCCCAGGGCTGCAGTAAGAGATGCCAGCATTGTGCACTGCCATCCTAATGCCTCAGAGATCTCTGCTTGGAAACCACTTTATCTCTTGAGACAGTAGTTACTGACTTGGACTCTGGTTTGTTCGTGCCAGTGAGTGGTAAGGGCTGGGTTTGGGACAGGATTCTCTTGGCAGTGGGGGCAGCAAGCTCAGCCCTTCCCTGGAGAGACAGGGGTACTACAACTGACAGGCTGGAGATGCCAAACAGGGCAAGAAGGAAAGGAAAAGGTGGAAAAATTCCCTCTCTCTGCTCTAGATGCATGAAACTATTTCAGTTCTGTGTTTGGAAGGCTCTTTGCAATAGGAGATGTTGCTCCTGCTGTTAAAAGGGACATGAAGAGGAAGCAGATCTGCTTTTCCTGACCCAAATGTGCTCTCAGGAGTTGCTCCCTGGCCAGTGGAGGGGTGGGTCAGTGTCAGCACTGGTGCCCACGCTGCTGTGCCAGCAGGAGCTGTGGCCATGCTGCTGTCACATCCCTGGGGAGGGCTGATGGCTCTGACACGGGAGGGCCTGGCTGTGCTGTGCTGACCCAAACCCAGAGCTCAGTAAGAGATGCCCCTGGGACTCTGCATCTCACCCTGCACGCTGGGCCAGCTGCTCTGCCCCTGCTTCCTAAGGCAACAGCTCTTCCAGCAGCCTTGGAAACCAGGAAGCATTCCCACTGACAAGGGCTGGATCTGGGGATGCTTCAGAGAACAAAAGTGTTTGTTCTCCTTTGCCTTAGCCCTGAGTGCCCTAAGGACAGCGTCGCTCCTGGGTCATGCTGTGCATGTGGGGGCTTTGCTTTGGTCAGCACCACCTGCCTTGGGTGGCTTCTGACGAGGCTTTGTGATGGAACCAAACCCCCAAAACACAGCAAACAGGCTGTGAGCTGCCCAGCACAGGGGGCTGTGAGGCTCAGACCCTGCCCTGGCTGTTCCCAGTCCCATTCTGGCCATGCCATGAGCAGTGCTACGAGAGCTCGAGGCTCTGTGGGAGCTCAAGCAGGAGCTGGCCAGTGTCCGATGCAAATCAGTGACAATTAAATCCGTGCTAAGTGTGTCCTGAGACCTCTCCTTCGTGCTGCTGGAGCTTGCTGGATGTGGAAGGGAGCTCTGGACGTGGGCACTGCTCCTCCCCGGTGTGTGCATCGCTGCCCACTCGGGGGCTGAATTTTACCAGTGAATGCAAACAAAATTTGTTTTTCTTGCTTAAACAAAAATACTGCCTCAGGTGATGTAAAACACTTGAATGTTCCAGGGGTTTCACATTTTGGTTTAATTACTGTAAAATTCAGGGAAGGAGAGGCTTTGTTTTGGAGATGGGCCAGCTGAGGTTTTCTTCCTTTGGCAGAGCTGAGCAGAACCCAGCTCTGAGTCTGGGGGCCTGGCTGGGGCTGGGGGCTTCAGTGGCAAACTCTCCATGGGGTTCCACATCTGGAGAGTGCTGGGGGACTAAAGACTGCAGAACCATGCAATGGCTTGGGTGGGAAGGGACCTTAAAGCCCATCCCATGGCAGGGACACCCCACTGTCCCTGGTGCCCCAAGCCCTGCCCAGCCTGGCCTTGGGCACTGCCAGGGATCCAGGGGCAGCCCCAGCTGCTCTGGGCACCTGTGCCAGGGCCTGCCCACCCTGCCAGGACAGAATTTCTCCTGCCTGTCCCATCCCAGCCCCTCTGGAGACATCCAAGGTGACACTTTCCTGTGTCACCTGCTCCAGGTGGCCCTGCCCTGGCAGGGGTGTGACCTGGGTGATGTGCAGAGTCCCTGCCAAGCCCAGTGCTCTGTGATTGTGTGATTGCAGTTCTCACAGGAGAGCAGCGTGTCCTGCCCAGGATGTTGCTGGAGCCAGGGCTGTGGGTCTGTTCCTGCAGAAGGGCTGGGGCTGTGCTGGGTGTGAGCAGCCGGTGTGTGGGCAGCCCAGGCGTGCAGCCTTCCTGCGGGAGCTGCTGCTGCTCTGTTCCCTGGCCTCATTAGGCACTGCTGGGCCTCTCCCAGCCTCTGCTGCCCTGCCTTTGGTGGTGATGGTGCACATGGGAATGGGGCAGTTCTCCTGCCCGGCCTGAGCCTTGGAAAATGCCCAGCCCTGCTTTTGTGAGCACCAAAACAAACAGCAAGGGCCCAGGGCTCAGTGCGGGCCTCTAGAGACTTGCTGAAATCAAAAAGGCTAAAGAGGGAAGTTTGCTTCAGTCCAGGCTGCTTTGTCCAGGTGTTTTTAATGGAGGCTGAATCACAGAATCATTTAGGCTGGAAAAGCCCTCTGAGCCCATCCACTCTAAGCATTCCCCCAGCACTGCCAGGGCCACCATGACCATGTCGCCAAGTGCCACATCCACATGGCTGTTAAATCCCTTCAGGGATGGGGACTCCAGCACTGCCCTGGGCTGGATGGCCCTTCCAGGGAAGGAGTTTTCCCCAGTATCCAACCTGACCCTCCCCTAGCACCACCTGAGGCCATTTCCTCTTGTCCTGTTGTCCCCTGGGAGCAGAGCCCAGCTGCCCCCTCCTGTCAGGGCGTTGTGCAGAGCCAGATCCCCCTGGGCCTCCTTTCCTCCAGGCTCGGAATGTGCTTTGTGATTTATGGTCATGGTGAGAGCTGCAGGACTCAGTCCTGAGGTGTGAGGGCCAGCCTGGTGGCTGTGGGGGCACAGAGGGGGCCCAGGCTGTGCCCCTGCCCTGTGTTTGGGGTGCAGGGCAGGTCCTGGCTGCAGCCAGAGGCACTCTGGGGTAATGNCTGCTGTTCCTGCAGGTGTTCCCAGCTGCTGCCCCACCTCTCTGCTCTCAGCTGCTGGCTTTGGTCTCCAGCTCAGCTCTGCCTTTAAGGGGATGGAGGGTGCAATGCTGGAGGGTCAAATCCAGAGCTGCAGGCTCAGGGGTTTGTGGGACAGACGTGGTCAGGAGGCACCTCAGGGATGTCTCTCACCTTCCCTGCTCTGCTGAGCTCTCTGGGTGCTGGTTTGCCCCTTGCACCCCATTTTGTTTGGGGTATTTGTGTGTGTGCTGCTCCCACCGTGCCCCAGGTCTGTGCTGCATCAGCAGGAGCTCCCCAGGGACCTGGGGCCGAATCTCTGGGGCTCTCTGAGGCAGCTTTGGGCTGGAATCCTCTCAGCACAGGAATTTATTCGAGTAAAGTGGAGCCTAATGAGGCTTCCTGAGGAATTTGCATTGCTCAGCTTTTCCCTGCCCCGAGCAGCAGAGGCTGGGGAGCCTCAGTTCCAGCAGCTCCTGGTGCCTCCCCAAGGCATTCCCAGAGCAGGGCTGGGGGCTGCTCCTGCCAGGGATGCTCCTGGAGGCACACAGGGCTGCAAACCCCGTGTGCTGAAGGAAAAGTGCCCAGGGCTCAGCCCTGCCACTGGGAGGCTGCTCCTGTGAGTGCAGCGTGGAGCTTCACACCAGGAAACTGCAGAATATCATCAGCCAGAGAAATGCAGCAGTGATCCTGGAGCCCAGGAGATGGCCTGGCAGATCTGATGGAATACAAAGAAGGGGATTTTTCATGCTTGCCTGGAGAAGTTAAATCTCTTTCTAGACAGTGTTCATATTTGGTTGCTTGACCTGAGTGACTGAAATGCCACTATCCATTAAAAAAATAATGAAAACGTGAAATATTAAAAAGAATTAAAATAGACTTACAAGCTTTTAATGAAAATTAGATTCAATGGATGCATTCTAAAACAAACTTGGGTTGAATGGATGTCTCCTGGGCTTAGGGGTTTGTGTGATGAATTCAGAGAGTGCCAGAACCCAGCAGTGCTGGGGTCCCAGCACTGTTTGTGAATAGCAAACTGCTCTGAGGACAAGACGGGAAAAGTCTTTACCCATCATTTTAAGGTCTCCATGGAAAATACATTTTTCATTTGCAAATTAACCTAAAATTTATGGGGACTAAAATGGAAGGTTCAATAAATAATCCACAAGCTACAGTGAAATGCTGTATCTTAAACTGAAAAAAAAAAGGGGCATTTTCTTATTTTGTATTTTGAATAGTGTTGGTTTTCCCCTCAACACAAACTGGCATTTCCCCAGGTGTGGCTGGGCTTTTCTCTTTGCTTGCAGTGTGTGACAAACCCTCTTTGAAGGATGAAGGGTTTGCCACCACAGTTCTTGGTTTAGGCCTCAAGAGCTGAGACAATTGGGGGTCTGAGAAACCCCTGGGAGGGCTGGGGAGGGTTCTGGTGGGAACTGGGGTGGGTTCCTGGTGGCACTGGGAGCTGGGGCTCTGCAGGCCATTCCAGGTGTGAGCTGAGCTGCTGCTCTCCCCCAGGCATCTCCCGGCTGGACGATCAGATCTTCCTCAACAGGAACCCAGGCGTGCCCTCCGTGGTGAAATTCCACCCCTTCACCCCCTGCATCGCTGTGGCTGACAAGGACAGCATCTGGTGAGGGCTGGGGATGTGGGGGTTACAACAGGGACAGCATCTGGTGAGGGCTGGGGACGTGGGACAGCAGCTCTGAGGGCTGGGGACGTGGGGCACGGTATCTGCTGACGGCTGGGGACACATCAGGGACAGCTGTGCCCCTGTCCTGGCTCTCTCTCAGAGCTGCAGGTGTTGAGATCCTGCCCTGGCAGGGCACAGGTGCCCAGAGCTGCCCCTGGATCCCTGGCAGTGCCCAAGGCCAGGTTGGACACTGGCAATTGGACACCCTGGCACAGTTGGGGTGTCCCTGCCATGGCAGGGGTGGCACTGGGTGGGCTTTGAGGTCATTCCAATCCAAACCATTCCATGATTCTGTGATGTGTTATTAATCCAACCATGCCAAACTGCAAAGGAGAGATCCCAGACTGGGTAAGGAGTCTCTGCAGCTGGCACAGAGAGCTGGAAGCTCAGTGTTTGTTCCTCCCACAGCTTCTGGGACTGGGAGAAGGGGGAGAAGCTGGATTACTTCCACAACGGGAACCCCCGGTACACGCGGATCACGGCCATGGAGTACCTGAACGGGCAGGACTGCTCCCTGCTGCTCACTGCCACAGGTGAGGGGCACTGCACAGCACACTGTGTCCCACGGGGGCTGGGGACACTGCCAGCCCAGCTGAGCTGCTCTGCACCCTCTTCTGGCCCCTCCAATCCGCTCCCAGCCCCATCTTTCCCCCTGTGTGGTTATTAACTGTTGTGGGTCTCCAGGATGAGGTGAGAGGTGAGAATTGACTCCAAGTTCTTAGAAGGCTGATTTATTATATTATGATATTCTACTCTATTCTATTCTATTCTATGAAAATGATCTACTAAAACTATGCTAAAGAAAGAGAAAGGAGCCATCACAAGGCTAAGAAAAGAATGATAATAAAATCTTGTGACCAGAGAGTCCAACGCAGCTGGACTGGGATTGGTCGTTAATTAAAAACAATTGACATGGAACCAATCAAAGATGCATTTGTTGGTAAGCGCCCTCCAAAGCTCATTCCAGAGGGACAGAACATGGAGAAGCTGATGCTTCCCAGGAGAAGGAATCCTGGCAAAGGGATTTTTCAGAGGATATCACAGTGGCAGCCCTGCACTGACCTCCTGCTCTCAGCTCAGGAGGATTTCCAGGCTCACACTTGCAGATTCCTGGCAGTGCTGAAACCTCTCAAGCAGAATTTCCAGGGACTGACCAGTCCAACACCTGCTGAAGCTGTTCCCAGCTGAGTCTCTGCCTGTCGTTGCATTGTGGTCACCCCTGCTGTGGCACACCTGGGGAAAGGTGATTCCAGCTGGGGAAAGGTAATTCCAGCTGGGGAAAGGTGATTTCAGCTGGATAAAGGTGATTCCAGCAGGGGAAAGGTGATTTCAGCTGGATAAAAGTGATTTCAGCTGAGGAAAGGTGGTTTCACTGGATAAAGGTGATTCCAGCTGGAGAAAGGTGATTCCAGGTGGATAAATGTGATTTCAGCTAGAGAAAGGTGATTCCAGCTGGTGAAAGGTGGTTTCACTGGATAAAGGTGATTCCAGCTGGGGAAAGGTGATTTCACTGGATGAAGCTGATTTCACTGGATAAATCTGCTGCCCAGAGCTGAAACTGTGCAGCAGCAAAGCACAGGAGCTGCAGCTCTGTTCCATGAGCAGGCAGGGCTCAGCCTCAGCACCAAACCCCCAGATGGTTCTGGGTTTCCCTCCAGCCCCTGTCTCACCTGGGCAGGGGCTGCAGGAGGAGACCTGGCCCAGAGGCTCTGCAGAGCTGTGAGTCAGATTGCTCCTCTCCCAAGGAACCATTCCAACCTGGCACTCTGAGTGTTTTCAGCAGCTCCTCCTGCTCAACTGCACAGGTTGGGTGGAATTAAGGGAGGGGGAAGGGGAGCTGAGAGAGCCTTCAGGACATATTTCTTTCAATTTATTGATTCTTAGCACAAAAGTTTCACAGATGGGGAGCAAATTGAAAAAAATACACAATGTTCTTGAAAGATTTGCTGCTGATGGGCTGGGCTTTGATGCTGCTGCCTCTGTGGGGCTGTTCTGTGTTGAGTGGGTACTTGTGTGGCCCTCGGCACCAATCCAGAGATGAATCCTGCAGAAAATGAATGTCAAGGAAATGGAGAGACACTGAATGTCAGGTGTTGTTCAAGGGAGGAGAAAAGCTCTTCCAGAACAGCTCCAGAAGAACAAAGCATGAGGTTCTGTGGATGTAAATTAGAGAGGGAAAACAACCCCAACAGAAGGTGTTCAAGTGACACTCTGGGCTTTGGGGTCTGTGTGACTTCAGCTCTGCTCCTCCTCTCCTTCCTGGAGCACAAGGGGCTGCAGCACCACCAGTGACTTTGCTTTGTGCTCTTTCTTCCCCTGTGCTCCCCCAGACGATGGTGCCATCAGGGTGTGGAAGAACTTTGCAGACCTGGAGAAGAACCCAGAGATGGTGACAGCCTGGCAGGGGCTGTCAGACATGCTGCCAACCACACGAGGTGGGTGCCACTGAGCTTTCTTGGGGGAAAAGCTGAAAATCAGCCTTGGTGCATCTTCGTGGGTGGCACCTGTGACCTCCTTCAGCCCCAGCTCCCACTCTGGCTCCTGTTCTTCCCTGGTTATTGTGGGTCAGGAGGGGGCAGAGGGACGTGTGCTCTAAATCTGGCACGTGCAGAAGGACAGCACAGTGAGACATTGGCCTGCTTGGAGTGCCAGGAAAGCTGGGCAGAAAAGGGTGTAAAAAGGAGCCCTGGCATCCAGCCACACGTGGGATGAAGCCAGAAAAACAGTTGGTGTAACCCTGAAATCTGTTTTAGGGCATTATGGGAGGTTTTAGGATATTACAGGAGGTTGTAGGATGTTAAAAGAGGTTTGGGGACATTTCAGGAGGTTTTAGGATATTAAAGNCCTGCCAGCCCCACCAACAAGGGGATGCACATCCACCAAGTGGGGTAAGTGCAGCCCAACCTTCCAGCGCTTTCCAGCACCTTCTGGGGGTGGGCTGGGTGCTCCCTGCCCTGCCCCATCCCAGGAGCTGCCCAGGGACAGGGAATGGGGGTGAGGTGTCCAGGAGGGAAAGCTCTGGGAAAAGGGGGGAGTTTCTGCCTGTTTTCCTTTAGGGCAGAGAGTAACAAGCCCACTGGGTATCAGCTGAACTAAAAGGAGGAGCTGCTGCTTGGCTGCTTTTACCTTCCCTGAGCTGTGGTGCCCAAATTCCCAGTGACGTCTGAGCTGTGCCTGCTGCACTTGGAGCTGATAAAAGCTGGGGTTAACTGATGGACAAATCACCTGCCTGAGCTGCAGGGAAACAGAGACTGCTGGGGGCAAAGCTGGGGGCTGAGAATGGGAATATTGCCCAAAACAACTCTCCAAGAGAAAACAGCACACACACAGATCTGCTAGTTCCGTACCCAGTGTGCACCAGTGAGATCCCAACAGAGGGCCCAGCTTAAATTCAAATGGTTTTGAATGGTTTTGAATTCAGTCTCTGGTCAGGGTGACTTAGGTCAGGCATCACAGGTTGCCAGAACATTGAGGCTCATCCTCTGGAGTTGGCACAGTCAGAGTTCTCTCTTGGTTTGGGCTGGGTTTGGCCTTTGGAGGGGACATGGGAGCTGTGATGTTTCTGCAGAGGAGGCACCACAGCGAAACACAAACCTTGTGAGAAGGAAACAAAGTGAAAATGACACAATACACACGTAAACCTCATGTGCAGCGATACCCAAAGCCTGTCCATGCTCTGTCCCTCAGAGGGTCCCCTCCCACCACGAGCACCAGCAGCTCCAGCCTGACCAACGAGGTGCCCAAGCCGGCGGTGAGCCGGGAGCTGCAGCGCCCCAGCGTCACCAACGTGGGCGTCCAGTACACCCCCCACTCCCACCAGTTCCCCAGGACAAGGAAAATGTTCGACAAAGGCCCAGAGCAGGTAAGGAGGCTGCTCTGACAGCCTCTCCCCACTGGGGTTTGTCCCACTTTCTGCTGGTTGTGGTTTATTTCTGTGCATCCCTCGTTTGCTTCCAGCTGCTGCTAATCCAGGTTGGCTGCCTCGAAGCAGCCAAATAAAAATTGATTAATTTATTTTCTTCAGGATAAATTGTGTTTTACAGCTTTTGATAGGGCATTATTCACTTCTGCCACTAAGCAGTGTGTCTAATCAGAGTCCATGGCTTAGTGCTCTGTAAACATTTGTGTGCCTGAGTGACACCCCAGAGGCAGATCCCTGACCCTCAGGGCTCTCCAGCCCCAGCAGCAGCAGCACCTTCCTTCTCTGGGCTTTGGCAGCAGCAGGATTGTATTTCTGAAAGCTGAAACCTGAGGGAGTGGAGCAGCTTTTCCCTTTTCCCTTGGGGTGTCCTGTGCTGTGAGACAGACACTCATCCACCTTGGCACCAGCTGTGTCTGGATCCTGAGTCATCCTGGCTGCTTCCCACACCCCATCCCTGGGACAGAACTGGTGCTGGGACCTCCCTGAGGTGCCTTGGGGCTGCTCCAGCCCAAACCTGCAGCTGAGGGAGTGTGCACCTTTGCAAGGAGTGACCATAACCCTGACCAGATGTGCAGAGTGACCATAACCCCGATCCCAGAGCTGGGTGTGCAGAGTTCCCTGTCCTGGGCAGTGTGTGTGAGGGGTTGGTGCCTGGCTGGGGCAGGGGGTGTCCCTGGGGTGTCCCTGCAGGGGCTGAGCCCTGTGCCCTCCCCACAGACAGCTGATGATGCTGATGATGCCGTGGGACACAAGAGCTTCATCTCGGCCGCGGTGCAGACGGGGTTCTGCGACTGGAGCGCCAAGTACTTCGCCCAGCCCGTGATGAAGGTAACCCTGCTGAGCCCTGCCAGCCCTGCCCTGCCTGCCTTCCCTTCCTGGGGAGGCAGAGGAGTGATGAAGGTCACCCTGCTGAGCCCTGCCCTGCCCTGCCTCCCTTCTCTCTCCATGGGAGCAGAGGAGTGGATCTCCTTCCATCCTGCTGCTCCTGTCAGTGAGAGTGAGCAGAGTGTCAGGAAAGTTAATCCACAAACACCAGAGGTTTATGTCCAAAAGGAGGCAGAGGAGTCCTTTGACTTTATTGGAATAAAGGGAGAGGCCATGGGGCATTGCCCTGGGGTCTCTCCAATTTTTGGAGGATGTAGCTTCCCTTTTTATCCCAATTTCCCAGCCACATTTCCCTTCTCTCTTTCCCCATTTCTGAGGTTCTGGAGAGGTTCAGACTTCCCAAAACACCTCACACCAAAGATTCCCCTCTAATGTACAACCTTCCCTTTTAATTTTTAATTCTTATGGAATTTAGGGGTTTTTCTTCCCCATTGTTTCTTTCATCTTTCAATGCCTAATTTCATTTATCAGCAACCCTAAAGTTTATTTGTACAAGCAAATCTCTTTTTCCATCCATCAATCAATGCAATCCTTCCCGTTGTTTCTTTTATCTCGCAGTGCTGGTTTTATCTATGTTTGGAAAGACAAATCTGCCATTCCTCTCAAGAGAGAGCCCAAGGGTCGCTGAGGGTGGGACAGGCAGAGCCCAGGGGGGAAAGCTCAGCTGCCCATGGAGCAGAGTCCACAAAAACCAAAGGAAAGAGGAGAGGTTCTGTGTCAGACCCCCCAGCTTTGCCTGGCTGCACTGCAGAGCTGTTCATCTGAAATGCTGGGCTTCTCTGCATATAGAACATTGCATTATGGCTAAAATGAATTGGTTTTTAAAGTAAATAAATGGAATAATGAAGGCCCTATTTCCCAGAAAGGGCAGAGAGAGGCTGGAGAAGGAGAGATGCTGTTTTCTGTCTGAGCTGGCTGTGGTAAAGAGGCAGAGCAGTGCTGGGGAGGCTGCCCTGGGGCAGGACAGACCCTGTGCCCCTCTCAGGTGGGGTTTGGGAGCTGTGCTCTGCTCCAGCACTGACACCCTTAACTCACACAGGAGAGAGTGAGGGTGGCTGCATGCCCAGAGTGCCTGGGGAGGATTGGGGAGCATTATTGTTGGGGCTTCAAGTCTAAAATAATGTAAGAATTTGTGTTAAAGCAAAGAATAAGGGTGGTAATGACAAATTTACATCCAGGTCTCTTCAGAAGTGATTTGTTTGGGTAACTGAATTCTCTGTGTGTGAAGTGAGAGAGAAACTGAAACCTTGTTCCAGGAAGAACTCAAACCAGAGCTCTTAAGAGATGGGCAGAGATATCAGTGACTGGAAAGAGAAGCTGTTAAATTCCCAGAATGTTTTAGCTGCTAAATTCCCAGAATGTTTCATTCAGCCAAAGCTCAGGTTTCAGGTTCAAGTATGAAACAGAAGGAGCAGTAAATCTCCCTCATTAAAGGCAGCTTCCAGGTGCTCTGGGAGTCTCAGGGAGCCCGGAGGTGTCAGGGCTTGGAGCAGCATCTCTGGCATGGAGGGGTTGCCGTGGGCAGGGCGGTGCCAGGCTCCATCAATGCCCTCCACAGCGTGTTTGTGTCCCTGAGAGAATGAGGAAATAAATGGTTTTAGTGCTGCCTGCTCGGAGGGGCTGAGCCATCACTGGGAGTTCAGCTGCTGGGCTGGGATAATTCCAGGTTTAGGGCTGTCAGAGCAGGGCAGGCTCTGCATTTCCAGAGGGAATCACCAGCGAGGCATTGCCTGACACTTCCTGAGCTGCTGTGAATTCTGAAATTCCCAATTCTGAAATTCCCTCTCTGCTGAAGCCACCGGGTAATTCCTCAGGGCACATCTGGGCTGTGGGGCTGCCTGGCCAAGCTTCCACCAGGGCTTCTTCTGCCCAAGATGAGCTTCAGAGCCTTGATTCAACCCAGACCAGGGCACAGGAGGAGGAAGATGATGTCTGAGCTCTTAGTTCTTATTAAAATCATTTGTCTGCTCCCTAAGAAAACTCTTCCAAGGGAAGAGGGGGGGTCTTTATTAATAGAATAAATCAGATTAGGCAGCCAGGCACGGGCAGGGGCAGTGGAGACATGGGGAGCTCTGTGGGGGAGTGGCTTTACTACTACTTCCTGCACATAAAATAGACTAAATTGCTTCAGGGGAGGCAATAAGGAACGTGGAGCATTCCTGTGCTAATTCACAGCAGCCAGGGAGAGGAGAGGCATGGGAAGGGGAATTTTCTGCTCTGTGTGTCCCAGGGAGAGGAGCAGGGCACAGCCCCGGCTCTGGAGGAGCTCCCTGAGCTGGGAATTCCAGCTGGTGAGTTCTGGGTGAAGCTTGGAGAGAACAAAATCAGCGTTTTCTTATCACACAAGGGAGAGCATTGATCTCCCTGTTACATCTGCAGCATTGGAAGGCCAAGGAGAGGGGAAGGCCAAGGAGAGGGAGTTTCCTGCAGGTGTTCCCTGCCCTGGCAGGGGATTGTAGGTGATTTTGGGGCTGGACTGGCTGCTCTGTGTGCAGGCACTGCAGAGTTTCTCTCTGAGAACTTTCCCTGGGGTTTCTTGGCTGGAAGTCAGGAGTGACAGCTCGGGTGTGCCTGAGTTTCCATGGAGTCCCTGTTCCTGCAGCAACAGGGAACAGTCCTGCCTGGTGGCTGCTGCCTTTTGGGAGCTTCAGCCTCAGGAAAAAGGCAGAGAGAGAAGAGCACCAAGTGCTGATGGAGAAATGACATTGATGCTTCATTCCAGCCGTTCCTTTGGAGCTGCTGCTGCCTTCATAAACAGGGAAAGACAAGACAACTGTTCCTGTAATGAATAAACATAAAATGACTGTGAGTGCATCTTAGTCATATTTAATTGATGAATTTAGTTTTGCTTCATGGACCTTGCCCTGAGAATGCTCTCACTGGAAAGACTGAGGGATTAATTTCCAGTGTAAATCAGGGGCTCTGTTTCAAGCCATCACTCCAGGTTTGATTTATTGATTATCTAATCAAATGAACGGAGAGAGGAAAAGCTGCACTGGAAATGCTCCCTGTGCCAGGAGGAGCAGGTCCCTGCCCAGCTCTGGGCTCTGCAGAAGCTTTTCCTGTCCCTGCAGCCCCTGGTGGCTCGGGGCTGTGCTGGGAGCCACGGGGTGCAGGAAAGCCTCGGTGCCAGCTGTCAGGAAGTCCCGAGGCAGGGAGAGCAGAGCCAGCATCTGTTGTTTGCAGGGCTGGCAGAACATGCAGGCAGGAGCTGGGAAGGATCCTGGAAGGTGAGAATTACATAAGCAGCCCTCCCTGCTCAGTCCTGCCGGGGCTGCTGCGCTCTGCCTTGGCCCTGGGTGCTGGGAGAGGAGGGGGATCCTGCCCTGCTGCAGGAATGGGAGCCAGGGAGAGCTGCATTGACCTCTGGGGCTCATGCCAAGGGCTCCCTGCTCCCCTCCTGGCTCCCACTGGGCTCAGAGAGGGAAAACTCTGCTGGGAGGGTTCAGCAGCTGCTCCCTGCCCGGGGGAAGGATCTGTCGTGGTCCCCATCCTGCGGCTGGAGCGTGGCCAGAGCTGGCCTTGGTGCTTCCATGGATCCTCCCTCCTTCCCTCCTGGCAGGATTGTCCCCAGAGCCACACGGGTGGATGGGTGGGTGTGGGGCCAGGACAGCCCTCACCTGCCTGCTCTTACCCTGCCCTGCTGGGCCAAGGCTCCTTCTTGGGCTTGCTTTAATTTATTCCCAGAGAAGCTGGGTTTTCATTAAGGTGTAGGTGTCATCTCTCCCCTCTCAAATTCCTTTGATGTATTTTAGCTCAGGTTTGTTTATTGCTTTTCATTAGGGGTCGTTTGTCATTGCTTGTCTAATAGGTGTTGTGCTGAAATGAAGTGCTTTTTCTTTGCCAGGAGGAAAGGTGGAGGGTGGGCTTTTATTTTTTATTTATTTTACAGAAGCAGAAGTCCAACTCAGTAGCAGCAGTTTTCCAAAGGATAGCATTGTTTGAAGGCAGTGTTTGTAATAGTGACAGATGATTTAAGGACTTTCTTACAGGGTTTTTTGTAGGGAATTTGTCTTCCTTTTCCAAGAGTTACTCCTTTGGAGCAACCAGCACCAAAGGAAGCTGGATCAGAACTCTGTGGCTCAGCTCCTTAATTGATCCAAGGATGGTTCTGGAGCAGGGGAGGTTTGGATAATTTTTAAAGTATGAAAAACACCTCATACATAGCTCCTGCCATGGTTTGGGGTGAGATCTCAGGAGTTTATTCCTTTTGATCCTGAGTAAGGTGGGAATTGCCATGGTGGGAGCAGCACTGGGGCTGGCCTCGTGCCTGGAGCACAGGTTTTGTAGGGGAGCCATGGAGTGCTGAAACCTGGAGCTGTGGGTGTGAGTAAATATCATCAAATGGCTCAGGGTGGCTGTGACTGCAGGGCCACTCTCCAGTTTCAGGGGGAATTTTGTGTATAACCAAAGCCAGGTGACACAGGGGCATCGTTTTCAGACCAGGGAACCAGAACAGGGCAGTTCCTGGTAAATGGTGGTGGGAACCTGAACATCCCGGGGATTTGGGAGTGTGGCCATGCCCTGCTCAGCCAGCAGCCCTTGATGAGCAGGAAAAGAAAGGTTTCAGTGTGTTCTGAGCTGGCTGTACAGGGCTGGGCTCCCTCTTTGATCTCTGCTTGCTGCGTGATGCTGAGGAACGCAGGGAGAGGAATCTGCTGTACCCAGACCAGACCCACAGCGCTCAGAGGGGACAGGAGGGACTGGGGCATCACCCAGCCAGCTCCTGGGGGTCACAGCTCCTGTGTGTGTGTGTCCTGTGCTGCAGATCCCTGAGGAGCACGACCTGGAGAGCCAGATCCGCAAGGAGCGGGAGTGGCGCTTCCTGCGCAACGCGCGCGTCAGGAAACAGGCGCAGAAGATCATCCAGAAGGGTGAGTGCTGGGGCTGGGAGCCCCAATTAGCCCTGGGCCCAATTAGGGGTGGCCCCCTGCAGCCCCTCTGCTGCTGAGGGCAGGTGCTCCAGCTGCTGCGGGTGTTCTCTGCTCCTGCAGGTGTTTCCTGTCTGCTGCAGGTGTTTCCTATCTCCTGCAGGTGTTTCCCTGTTGCTGCTGCAGGTGTTCCCCATCTCCTGCAGGTGTTTCCTATCTGCTCCTGCAGGTGTTCCCCATCTCCTGCAGGTGTTTCCCTGCTGCTCCTGCAGGTGTTTCCTGTCTCCTGCAGGTGTTTCCTATCTCCTGCAGGTGTTTCCTATCTCCTGTAGGTGTTTCCTATCTGCTCCTGCAGGTGTTTCCTATCTGCTGCAGGTGTTCTCCTGCCCCTGCAGGTGTTCCCATCTCCTGCAGGTGTTTCCTATCTGCTGCAGGTGTTTCCCTGCTGCTGCTGCAGGTGTTCCCATCTCCTGCAGGTGTTTCCCTGCTCTGCAGGTGTTCCCAGCTGCTGTTCCTGCAGGTGTTCCCAGCTGCTGCCCCACCTCTCTGCTCTCAGCTGCTGGCTTTGGTCTCCAGCTCAGCTCTGCCTTTAAGGGGATGGAGGGTGCAATGCTGGAGGGTCAAATCCAGAGCTGCAGGCTCAGGGGTTTGTGGGACAGACGTGGTCAGGAGGCACCTCAGGGATGTCTCTCACCTTCCCTGCTCTGCTGAGCTCTCTGGGTGCTGGTTTGCCCCTTGCACCCCATTTTGTTTGGGGTATTTGTGTGTGTGCTGCTCCCACCGTGCCCCAGGTCTGTGCTGCATCAGCAGGAGCTCCCCAGGGACCTGGGGCCGAATCTCTGGGGCTCTCTGAGGCAGCTTTGGGCTGGAATCCTCTCAGCACAGGAATTTATTCGAGTAAAGTGGAGCCTAATGAGGCTTCCTGAGGAATTTGCATTGCTCAGCTTTTCCCTGCCCCGAGCAGCAGAGGCTGGGGAGCCTCAGTTCCAGCAGCTCCTGGTGCCTCCCCAAGGCATTCCCAGAGCAGGGCTGGGGGCTGCTCCTGCCAGGGATGCTCCTGGAGGCACACAGGGCTGCAAACCCCGTGTGCTGAAGGAAAAGTGCCCAGGGCTCAGCCCTGCCACTGGGAGGCTGCTCCTGTGAGTGCAGCGTGGAGCTTCACACCAGGAAACTGCAGAATATCATCAGCCAGAGAAATGCAGCAGTGATCCTGGAGCCCAGGAGATGGCCTGGCAGATCTGATGGAATACAAAGAAGGGGATTTTTCATGCTTGCCTGGAGAAGTTAAATCTCTTTCTAGACAGTGTTCATATTTGGTTGCTTGACCTGAGTGACTGAAATGCCACTATCCATTAAAAAAATAATGAAAACGTGAAATATTAAAAAGAATTAAAATAGACTTACAAGCTTTTAATGAAAATTAGATTCAATGGATGCATTCTAAAACAAACTTGGGTTGAATGGATGTCTCCTGGGCTTAGGGGTTTGTGTGATGAATTCAGAGAGTGCCAGAACCCAGCAGTGCTGGGGTCCCAGCACTGTTTGTGAATAGCAAACTGCTCTGAGGACAAGACGGGAAAAGTCTTTACCCATCATTTTAAGGTCTCCATGGAAAATACATTTTTCATTTGCAAATTAACCTAAAATTTATGGGGACTAAAATGGAAGGTTCAATAAATAATCCACAAGCTACAGTGAAATGCTGTATCTTAAACTGAAAAAAAAAAGGGGCATTTTCTTATTTTGTATTTTGAATAGTGTTGGTTTTCCCCTCAACACAAACTGGCATTTCCCCAGGTGTGGCTGGGCTTTTCTCTTTGCTTGCAGTGTGTGACAAACCCTCTTTGAAGGATGAAGGGTTTGCCACCACAGTTCTTGGTTTAGGCCTCAAGAGCTGAGACAATTGGGGGTCTGAGAAACCCCTGGGAGGGCTGGGGAGGGTTCTGGTGGGAACTGGGGTGGGTTCCTGGTGGCACTGGGAGCTGGGGCTCTGCAGGCCATTCCAGGTGTGAGCTGAGCTGCTGCTCTCCCCCAGGCATCTCCCGGCTGGACGATCAGATCTTCCTCAACAGGAACCCAGGCGTGCCCTCCGTGGTGAAATTCCACCCCTTCACCCCCTGCATCGCTGTGGCTGACAAGGACAGCATCTGGTGAGGGCTGGGGA